TTTTTTTTTTCCGCAGAGACGATGCACACATCGTGTGATAATGATGTTATTAAAAGAGGCAACTGTTGATGTCTCAGATGAGCTTGAATTTTAAGTTCTAGAAGAGGGATGGACGAGGAATAAAACGACTACAATGCTCTGAAATCCCCGGTCCAGTTTTTGTTTTTGTTTTTAATTTTTTTCCCTTACCGTTGAGCTGTTCGTGAGCAAACGCGTTTTTATCAATTTGCTGCTGCGCGAACTTCGGAAACATGACATTGGACATCTTTGTATATATTTTTTGTTTTGCAGTTTTGAACAATTTTACTCGGGATATCGTTGAAATGTGATTAAAATGTGTTTCAAAGATAACTCAAACATATTTAATGTGTGTTGTGCACGTGTATCAAACAGGGTTAAGTTATTTAGCTTTGTATCAAATTGAACTGTCGGAAAATTCATTTGAATAGCAGAGGCACTCCCATGGCTATAACCATTGTGTAATTGTGCTAGTTGGCATATGAAGCCAAATAAAGTAGTTTGTTTTTTCTAAAAGCTGTTGTTCTCTCTTCCTAACTTGCGTATCTTGCGTGCAATTCCAACTGATTATTCACCTCTCGGCACACTAATTTGGCCCAAATGGCGAGGTTTAAAGTTGAAGGTGACAAAAAAAAAAAACCGCTTTGAATGCACAGATTGCCTTTCTAATCAGGGTTGGTGGCACCGGTCTAAGACATATAAAAGGTGCGTCGCTTGCCAGCTTATGTTTCAGTTCTCTTCTGATCGTCTTTGTGAAGCTAGTCCTGACATTATAAACGGAAGACGTTACCAGAGTCATGAATGGCACTTGACCTAACCAATGACTTCCGCTCGGATTGTCGAAATGTCCGTCAATATATCTGACAACTGTCCTTCTGGGAACTACTTTCACTCAGACGGTCAAGCCACTTCATCTACTGTTACTCCTGCGTTGAAATCTTTCTCTAGTAAGCTTAAAAAACGCTAGCAAATGTCAGTTATTAAAGTCAAAAGGGTCCTTTGATGCTAGTGATGACTTCCAAGCTTCCTTCACCATTCAGTCTGCATCTTGATTTCCATGTGCTGTGTCCCTAAACAACCATATATTAAAAAGTGGGTGTGAACTTGTGATTTTGACCATTGAGTGGATGGGATAATTGAAATTGAGGATTCTGGGTTGTTTATTCCTTCTCTTTCCCTCTTTTTTCCTGCTTTCCTATTTCTATCCTTCCTTACATTTGCTTTTAAGATGGTCAGGGTCTGAGGTTTCTAAACTTCTCACCCTTACAATGGATAATGAGATCATGTAAGCTTACAAAGAGACATACAGGAATATATCTTAACAAAATTTTATTCCACATGTTGCTTGCTTTCCACACAAACTAAATAAACAAGCTGACGAAATAATCAATAATTACTTTTCTAAGCCTTCCAGTTTGTTTCTTGGTTTTATAACTGCAAGCAATTTCAATACATGTTCTAGATCAATAAAAAAACCATTTCCTTAGATTATTTTGCCCTGCATATGAAGAAATATAAGTGTAAATCTTTATAGTTACATTATACCGTCTATTTATAAAAATACAAAACTTTACTAAAGTGGTCTGAGAATATACTCTCAAGATTTAGCAGCTGTGAAGTTCAGTAGAGCAAAACCACCATTATTTCTATACAAAAACGTTTTAGTTGTATCAAAACTTCACAACTAGAACTTAATTACATCAACACACTCTAAAGTTATCAAGGATCCTTGAGACTTGTATCTAATTCTGTTTCACAGACAAACATTTTCAAGAATTTTTTTGTGTTAGGGAAACTGCAGTGCTACATCTAGACTAATCCTGAGTTTTCATCATCATCATCCTCAACATCGTGGTAAAAATCATCCTCAAGCATCTTGAGTCTTGAGTAGCCATAATCTTCAAAGCGAATTGCTTGCTTTCTCTTCATGCGCCTGTAAAAGTAGTTTCCAACAATTGCCACTCCAACAGAACAGATCAATACAGCAATAACAGCACCTGCAATCTGTTTCCCTTCAAATGAATTTGTCGCTGGAGGTGAGGTGGGTTTGTTTGGAGATGTCAATGAGCACTAAAATAAAACAATGAACAGAATGTCACCTTACACACTTTGAGAATCTGATTATCAGAGTTCCAAGCTCACATTTGTTCAAAGTTGCCATTGTGGTGACCTAAAATCATAACAAATGGTATAATTGTAGCCCCAAAGGATAAATCTCACCTGGGGATTTCCTCCACAAGCTGGTGGTATTTTGTGTATGTTACACCTTTTCCCTTCTTTTACAAAAACCCCATAACTGTTGTTCTCTGGCTTGATTCTGTAATACAGAAAATTATCAATGACATGCCAATCTTATCACTTTACCAAGTAAAATCCTCGACAGGGGACCACTATAAGACAACATATTTCAACAACATTGTTATTTATTTTAATTTTAGGTAACAATTGGATAAAATAAAAACAATGAAAAACCTAATAATTGTGGAGGAGAAATGATTCAATAAATTAAAAAAAATACTGAAAATGCAAAAAAAAAAAGTTGTGATTCAACATTTTGGTTTTATAGTTAATTTCCGCATCCAAAAAGGCCATGTTGTTGATGTGCATGTCAGCAATATGGAAAGGATTAGCATAATGTTAAATTGTGGCAGTCTTGTGGGTAGAGGTTTCAAAGTAAAATATAACTTTGTGCTGACTGAATGATTTTTCATCTTGTTGACACTCAGAACCTTAACACTGACTTTAACTGATAATGCAAATGAAATAACAAATCACATTAATTTTCAAAGATTCTGAAATGATTTTCAAACCTATTAGTATTTGTAATTTAACTACACAAACCTGTGGCAATCCATGATGTTCAAAACTGACCCCACACAGCATTTCAGGGTGTTATAAAAGTTCCCCACATCCTAGATGGAAAATAATAATGGTAAAATTTAACACCCACATTACTCATCACATGATGGAAGTTCTGGGAGATAATGGACAAATTTATCATTTTAATTTCCCTGACATGAACAGAACCCATCAGCAAATAAAGTACCTTATAACACTGGCTGGAACATATATTTTTCTTTAAACTTGTGGTAACATCACAACTCTGTTTAAAAATGCAGCAAATTCAGATATCAGTTTCCAGCAATCAAATTATAAAATTAAATGTGTAAATTCACTTGTGGTACATGACAAAAAGTATATGGTTAGACAAATATGAAAAAATTATTATGAGTGATAATCTTGCTTAGTGGAAACACAAAACAAACTTTTATTGTAGCATCACTGATGGTCACATAATGGTTGTTAATTAGTCATGAAGCCTTCATCCAACTTCTCATTATGAATTACAAAATGTCACCATATGTGTAGCAAGTGTTAACCTCACTGAACTAATGGGGGAATTTTCTTTGTGAACAATTCCTGTTAGTTTGTCAAGGCAAAGTTCATCTTACTGCAATTTGTAGATATTCCAGGATTTATTTTTATTTTGGTTTCAGACAAATGACACTGAATAATGTTTGACTATTCACCTTTTGGGTCAGATACTTGTAAAAATGTAGCCAATTCTTTTAGATCTTTTTTTTTTTTAATTGGAAATCCAGATAAGTCAATGACTGTTATTAAGCTAATTAGAATTTATTTCATTTGAGATTTGTCACTACCTCTTTTTTATTTCACAGTGCCTTAGCTATATTGCATCTGAAATGATAGCAAAGTAAGTATAATAATTTTTAAAGGAAACTTGTTAAATCTGTGTTACCTGGATTGAACTGCCTGTTTCATTCTTCAATAATCCATTAATAAAGTTATCAGCACATGAATGTCCATCCTGCTGGCTACAAAGGGACTTGAGAACTTCATTCACAAACCTGATGTATTTTTGATCACTTTCCTATGTTAGATACCAACAAATCAGCAACCATTTAGGTATGATGAGGCCATGAAACATTAATGCCCAACAAATTTCTATTAAATAACCTCTTCAGAAATTTAGAAAGGGTGTGTAAGACAACAGAAATCTTTCTATATTCTCACAGGTTTGAAACAAAACTGAGACCCTAAAAAGGATCAATTAAAACCTTGCTAGGAAATTGAGTTTCAAATTTAGCAAGAATAACACTGACCACTAAAAACAGTAAACACCCTTTATATAATGAAGTTGTGTTTGCCACAGTTCTTGGATATTAAAAATCCCACTATTTGCTAATTAAAATCAACTTTTCTTCTACAAAGCATAACATACATAAAATGGTTTCAAAGGCTGCTCCTTAAAGCTGTGCTTGCAAACCATGAAATCCTCTTGACCAAATCAAAGCAATGAATAAAGCATTTAATACAGCTTTGATCCTTAAACTTCCAAGATCAGATTGTTAATTTTCCCCTTTAGCTATTACATAATTTCCTACAAATCAGTTGGGACAATTTGGTGTTAGATCATGACAACAACTCCCATCTGATGGGTTTGAGTCTTCCCATAACCTGGTTGCTGGATCATGTATGGATATTATAGAGAGAAGTTACATGTTAATCACTCCTGGGAGTTAAAAGGTTAAATTACAATACGGTGCAAGAGAACAAAAAACAGTGGAAGTTGTAATTGAGGTGACTAAAAACGCAATTCCAACCATTAACACCGGTGAATTTATCGTGCTTCAAGTTCGATATTCCAAGTTTATCTCCTGATTTGTGACAATCATAATACTCTCATGTGATCAAAACACGCACAGCTGAGATTCAGACCTTTACTATTTCCTTAGTCTCGGCCGACTAATGATAAATTAATGCCATTACCTTTATCGCTGATTTTCCTGTCAAAATGCACTTGTATGTGACAAGCTGCACTGTTTTCCAGCACTGCTCTTTGCACAAATTTCCCACCGTAGTCTGTACTTTCCTAAGCGATGCCCTGAAATTTTTATCTAAATTCAGTGTGTAATTATGGAAACAATTATAACTGCCACTGGGACATCTGATTAACGAATACTGAAGCTTTGGGAGGCTGGAAGAAATACTACTGCATTTTTCATAGGCTTCTCTCAGATCCGTACAGTTGCTAAAATCTATTGAAGTTTTCGAGATGAGATCACTTTTGAAGTTGATTCCATACGGCTTAAAAAATAACTTGTAGATTTCCAGTTCCTCTGAAGAATACAGTGCAGGTTCTGGGTTGCAAATGCAAACTTGGAAAAAAAATCCCACAAAAAAGAAGTTCCTCATGTTAAATCAACAGAAAATGTCCCGTACAAGACAATACCACTGAACTTCGCCAGCTTCCCACCCAGCGTCCGCCATTCTTTTCGATTTCTACGTGTCATTTGATCAGCGGTTCACTATTCAGTACCAGGCTTTCACTGACGTGCGTGGCGAAGATGGCGGATGAACCTACACATCTTTTTTATTATGAGAAGCTACAATAAGAAGAAATAGGATGGAACATTTCAAAGGCAAGAAAGATATTCAGGCAAGTCTGTTCCATATTACTGTAGTTTTTATCCCTTTTAGTTTTAATCGAGATTTTTTTTTTCCTTTTCAAATTTGTTTCCCTGTATATATTTGAATTATACTGTCTCGTAAAACCACCCTTCATTTAAGTTAAGGCATTTGCAAATGATTTTTTAGACAGATGTTTTATGATATACTAAGGTTTAGTTTCTGATATTCCTACAGGTTCAAGGAACAAACGACCGTGCTACTTTAAGCAAGTTCTCTACCGTGACACGTGGATACTATGAGGATAAGTTTTTACAGTATTTTGTCTCCAAGACTTCTAGAAGAGCTCCAATTATTCATAGGTCAGTATTTAAGGGTTTTCCACCTAACTACCTGACCTGACTTCTAGACGAGTACAGTTGATTGAAAGTCAATCGATGACTGATAGAACCTGGTAGGCATCTGGTATCAAATCGTCTCGGCTCACTTGGCCAGTGAAGATAATCGCTTCTTTGAAGTGATAAAAAGTCGTTTCCAGAGAAGCAAGCTAATTTGACACACTTGAATGGTAGTCTTTTAGTTTTTTGCATCACCAATGTGCTGACATGACATTGTGTTAAAATAATTGATTGGTAGTGGCCAATCAATGACCATAACTGAGAAAAAAATGAGCAGCATTTCTTGGAGATAATTTGAGGCCAGGCCCCTAGCATGATTAAGTAGGAAGACCCTTTCCCCTGTCCCATCCATATGGTCATGTTCGAAAACCCCTCAGAGGAATCCCCCTCCTTACCCACTCATTGAGCCACAGGCAGCCCAAGCTTTTCTAGTAGGGAGCTTGGGCCGCCTGTGATTGAGCTAGGTTTGAAGACCCTCTGGAGGAAAGTTTCTTCATATGCATTTAAGTGTCAGTTGGCTTTAAAGTCCATATGCAAACACAACCATAATTTGGGTGAAAATTTATTTTAAAAAAATAAGAAACAATGTTTGAAGGCAGTTATTGTCACAGAATACTTCAAGTGTTCCCTGAATTCAAATATCTGTGCAAATGTAGGTCATATTATATGAGGGCACAGGCAATACAGTACATGGTAAAGGGCTTTTTACAGAGCCTGAGGCTGAAAAGTGCACACAAACAGGTACTTGACATGAATTACAGATGATTTAGTGAACTAAGATAAATAAACAACTAGGTGGATATTTGACCTTTTATCTCATAGTTGATATTAGTGGCAACTATACACCCAGACATTTGTGCCTTAGTATTTTAAATTTATTTTCAGATAAGTAGCCTAATTTATTAGTTGCTTCAATGATAAGAATTTAACTGTGTTTACATGGCAAAATTTATTGAATATTTATTGATTTATTTATATGTAGCCCACCTTATGAATGAAACATAATATTACACTCAAAAATATACCTGATAATGGTGAAAATGTCGGCAGTTGGATTGAATTATTATGCAACTTAAAAATATGTAGATTATTCACAATTGAGGTACTCTAACTATTATTGATTTAATGCTTTTTTATTTTCTTTTTTTCTTTCATGATGATTACAAGTGTGTTATTACTCCACTTTAGATTGTTTCTTTGGGGGCTGGATTTGACACACTTTTCTTCTCACTTTCTAGTGAAGGATTTCTGAAAGACACAAAATATTTTGAGGTAATTTACTTTTCAGTATTACGTAACAGATCTCTAATTTGTTGACATTTCTCAGTTTTGGCAAAACCTTTTTTTCTGATTTGCAGATTGATTTCCCAGAGGTTGCTAAACAGAAAGCTAGTTTAATTCTTCAGCACAAAGAATTATTTCAAGGACTTGGAAAAACTTCAGCAGAAAATAAACAGTGGCTTGGAGGAGGTCAGTTTGTAGGAATGTTTCTCCTCTTGGATATGTATGATGCACGATCCTCACAGTAGAGAGCGCTATTTATGGATCGTGCATCATACATATCTATCTATAACTGCAGTTCAAAATATATGAACTTCATATATTCATCATATCTGTTTCTCCTCTTGTTATTCTTTTTTTTTTCTCTTCTGTTTTTTCTTTTTTGTCACTTTACTCCAATTCTTTCATGTAATGTAATTTTGTGTATTCTATTCTGTCAATTTAGAAATAGTAGACTTTTGATTGTTGGTTGGAATGCCCACTAGCAACCCAATTTCTGGTAAATTCTACCCTAAGTACATTTTGTTTATTTCTGATTTTCAGGTATTGACAGTGAAAAATATACGCTTCTGGGATGTAACCTTAAGAATCGCTCATTGCTTGAGAATCATCTATTGAAATGTGGACTGGACACATCACTTCCTACCCTATTGTTGTCAGAAGTTGTGCTGACATACATGGATCCACCAGAGAGGTATTCTCAAGAGCTCTGGTGTATATTATTATTATATATTAATATTAAGTAATTTGACCAGTGAATTTTTGTAGGCTAATTAAAAGTACTAGTTATTTTGTGGACCATAAAAATCTCAGGGAGATATGATCTATAACAAAGGTCTTATAGACTCTGACATATTAAGAAGGAAGATGATCAAAAACTCAAATTAGTAAGTTTGCAAGTGTTTAAAACTCAGGAAACAGACTCTGATAGGAGGAATTTTAGGAATTAAAAAAAGTGTACTTGAGATGCTTTCATTCCAATAGCCCATTTCCAAATTACCCTTGGCCTCTTTTTCAAAACGAGGCCTGGTGCTCAACCATTCTTGTGAAAGTGAGTTTAATTTGCATGTGAATGAAAACTTACTATGATCATAATGAAAGGATGAGCACCTGGACTCATTTTGAAAATGAGGCCAAGGGTAATTCGGAACTGGGCTATCGTTTACATAGGTACATGTACATGTGTTTGCCTACAAAATATGTTGACTAGGACAGAACAATTGGTTAATCCCACTTTAAAGCAGAAAATATGTGCTTTAAGAAACAGCAGTTACAATAATGATGTTCAGAGCTTGTTGTTAACATGATGAATAGATATTCTGAACTAAGAGTTTACCTGAACAAGTACAGATGACTATACTGAGCGATACAAAGGACTACTGAGCAGTACAAGGGATGATAACTTCCACTGAAAGCACTTCAAAGAATTATATTTTTGATTGTACCATTTATAGTGCATGAGGGAATATGTCTGTTGTTTAAGCCAAATGGAATATATCAAAGAAACTCCAAAAGACACAAAATGTGAAACAAATCACAAAGGAAATACAAAACCAAGCAAAGCCAAATCACCAAATTAACCTTTTTTGGCAGTTGACTGGAAATTTCCCTGACCAACTTGGTATATATTTATTTTTTTGATTTTGATTTGTCTCTTTTAGTTCCACTGCCATAATTGGATGGGCAGCAGATTTCTTCAAATCTGCCATGTTTGTAATGTTTGAGCAGGTAGGGAGAAAAGTTCTCTGCTTGTTTAGTACCAGAAGGGGTGGGTCGGGGAAAAGGTGGCAAAGCGTAGGGAAAGAGGACAGCAACCTTATACTAAAAAATCTAAGAAGTAATGTCAACATAAAAGTACCAAAATTCAATACATACTACATGAAAAACAGTTTTTCGAGAAGAGCACGTATCATTTTTAACACACTTCTCCAAGAATCAAATTTAAGAAATATAACCATTAAGCAGCTCTCCTCGTTAGCCTACAAATCAAAGGCACTTTTAAATTTGAACTTTAATTCTATTTCTCCACAGACAGTGAACTTTAAGGATCCCAATTTTAAATATTTTTAGATCTTCTAATTTTGATAGGCTACTTTAATTATTTTATTTTACTACATTTCATTTTATTCCATTTTACGCACGACCCCACAAGCGTGTAGTCGCTTTAACAATTATCGTGTTTAAATAAAGTCTTTGTATTGTATTGTATCACACTCTTCTGATCATAGTTACTGTGCCGTATGGATATATGTGGTGTATAAAAACAATGCTCATGCAAGTGGTTTATTTACATAGGTATCCCCTCATGATCCCTTTGGAATAAAAATGTAAGTACTGAACATTTTCATAAAGTCTAATTTATTCTTAGCTCAATTTTGTAGCAACTCCGACTTGTCTTCCTCTATTTCCTTAAGACCTAAATATCAGGCATGATTGTTTGTTTAAAATAAAGCAGCAAGAGTGATTGTATCATTAACAGAAAAGTCATTGAAAAAAACAAAAGTCCCTTTTCACATCAGTGAGCTTAGTTGTTCAGCCATTGACCTGTTATTATGCTTGCCAGATTCTTGTTTCTAAAGTAATATGGTAAGCCTCTGCCTCACTCTGAGGCAAAGGTCTGGGTACTAAGTACTTACGAATGTAAAATGTACTATAATTGTAGACTGACTAGATTAATTAGGAAAAGAATGCTCCAGATACCATGTACCTCCAATGTCAGCCATTAAAATGTAGATATGAATCTATGCCATTGAAAGGTAGATTTGAAACTATGAGTATTCTAACTTGTAAGAAATTGCCTTCAAAGACTTCAGATGAGCTTTGAATCAGACTACAAGCACAACCATTTTTATTTTTCTTAGCAACCTGGCCACTCGCCTGTGACGTAACAAGGTTTCACTCCGTTAATTTCACCAATTTTTGTCACTTGTTTTAATTTGATTTGAAAGGTTTGCAAATTGCACTCGATTGCAACCCCTGCAACTACGCCAAAAAACTTTTTAAACCATTATTGATGCCCGAAAGTCAAGGAATGCATTCGCTTTCAAGTGATTTGCTGTACTACTAGCTGTAGAACTGTATGCTTGTGATTATATCATACAGATTGAAGTTAACTGATTTATATGATTGTCATGTGACAGCCAAAAGGGGTTAAGTGGTTTCGATGTATTATTGGAAAAAGCGCTTGTGTTCCGAAAGTGTGCGAAAAAGAAGCACACAATACGGTTCGACCGCAAAAAAAAAAACAAAACAAAAAAAAAGAGCTTTGTTAAAGGTAGTCTAATCTTGGTTTTGGTACTGAATTTAAGTTAGTCGACCAATTTTCCCAGACTACCATTGAATTTTCAGGAAAATGATTAGTAGATGCACTGGGTTGCGATTATGTAAAGACGTAAAAACAGTGGTTATGAAATTAAGTTTGTTTTATCCTCTTAACCTCAGTTTTATTTTAATTAAAATCTACCTGAATAATTAAAACTGGACTACACTGACAACTCTTTGATTCTGTACCTAGCTCTTTTTCAAAATATTAGTTTCTGCATGTCAGTACATTTATATAAGCCTCTCGGAATCTTCTCTGTAGCAAACCATATATCAAAGGATTGACAGCACAATTCGCTGCTCCCATGAACGGCATAATGAGATAAACTTGACGAGGAAGCCTGTACTGGCCATGAAACATGTCGATAAATTCAATGATAAAAGGTGGAGTCCAACACATCACAAAAGCGATCAGTACGGCGAAGAGAATTTTCGTGATTTTCACTTCCTCTGCATATGATTTCGCAGAATTTTCGTGAATATTTGAAGGTGCAATCCGCGAGAAATGTAGATGAACTTTACGGAACACTTTGGAATAACAAAATGTTATGACAGGATAAGTCATCGTGATAAGTATCGTGTATGGTACAATGAGAACTGCTTGATTTTCGCCGTCTCGACTCTTACAAACGAAACACGCACATTTGCCGGGATGGAAACAGAATCTTTGGGAAACAAACGGAATTAGAAATATTCCAGAAAAGATCGCACAAAACGCGATAGAAATGAGGACGTTGCTTTTTGTGAAAAACCTCTGGTAAATAATCACGGAATGCATCATTTTGATGTAACGATTGACGGCTATGAGGGTCATGGTTAGAACTGAAAAACAAGCAAAGTAGTAGATGAAACTGCCTTGAATCTGACAAATAGCGTCTCCAAATGGCCATCTTCCCAGAATCACAACAGTCAATCCCAGAGGAAGACAGAGAATCGTTAACAGCAAGTCTGATGCAGCCAATGCAACGATGTAGTAGTTTTGGATACAGCGGAGCGCACGAGTTCCGTAAATTGCCAAACACAGAGTTAGGTTTCCTATCAGTGCCAATATTGCGATGATTAATGCTGAAGATGTTTCGGCAATTATCATCCCTATTTTTCTGTCTTTAAGTGAGTCCTCAAGAATCTTTTTCTTGTCTAAAGTGATATTCATTCTGTTGAATGTGATATTCATTCTGTTTAGTTAAAATATTCCTTTCAAAGCTTTCGTCAGGGTGCAAATTATAGTATTCAATGCCACAAATGTCATTATTTATTTACAGTTTCGGCGAAATTTATTATAGTTCTCTTCTCAACTCGACACTTGTTTGTAAATTTAGTTGAGTCTTTAATTAAAATTTTCTAATCATGACACCCTAATTAGACGTATTTAGACACCTGTCTGGAAATTTTAGCCTCTGGTCAGACCGGTGAACTTTAAAATGAATTAGTATCATTTAATTTTAATTTTTTGTTTTTTTTCGGGGGGGGAGGGATTTATTGTGGCAGTACTTAGTTTAAATGGACCGATTAAGCTAGTAGCCTTTTCTGACCCGTTGATGCAAATGCTCCTTGAGAGTTGACACAATTCCTCATTTTATCCTCGTCGGGGTAAAAAAAATAGAGACATGAATGTTCAGTGAACTGGTGGTAATGAGAAAATATTGTTTCTTTTCTTTGAACGACCGGTACGCAGCAAAGAGCACTGGGAAAAGTATTGCCTTTACGCTAAATAGAAATGATTCTGTTATCTGATAAATTCCTATGAGTTCAGTTTTCTAGCCACTGTTCGCACCAAATTTTCAGCCTCATAATTTTTGTTATCATCAAGAGCTTTCATGTTTGATTAATATTTAGTTTGTGAGATTCTTTAATCGCCATCAATATAACGCTTCAACCGCCTCCCGGTTAGCTCAATGGATAGAGCACCGGACTGTTGTGTAGGAGGTCGAGGGTTCGAGCCCCGGCCGAACCAACACTCAAGGTCTTAAAATAATTGAGAAGAATATGCTACCTTTCTACAACATCAAGAAATGGTTAGATATTCTAGTCTTCTCGGATAGGGAAGAATAAATGGAGGTCCCATCTCCTGCAGGGTTAGGGGTCGGAGACGTTAATTTCCCACGCACGAGATTACTGTGTGATGGATGTCCTCCCCTGGGGTGGGATGGGTGGGTACAAAGGGGTTAGGTGTCAATTGGGACGAAAGTTTTGTTCCTTTCTCCTGCCATTCTCGTGGCGAATGAATTAAATTTTAAATTTTAAATTCTAAATGTAGCGAATCATTGAGGATGCAATAAATGGCAAAAGATTCGTTTAAAAACGGATGTCTTTTTTAGAGGTTGTAAATTTGATAGCACTGGCGAAAAAGAAAAACCGCTTAAATTGTTAACTTCCTCGATCAGGTTTTTGTTTTTTATTCAATTACAGAGGTTTAATCGGCATCTGGTACAAAGGAATTTCAGATGTACAAACTAAATGGGTATCAAATAAAAACTAACTGGTGTTTCCTTCTTTAACAGGATAGACCATTTTAAAAACTCTATCGGAGCTCCTTTGTTTGCCACAGAAGCTTTCCCAACCCGACAAAGTCAAAAAAAGCGGTTTATGGAAGAGGTGAATTGAAAACAGACACTCCTTTGCAAATGGCTTAAAGATTTTTATTCCGCTTTGAGTATGATCACTTTTTCTTTTCATATCTCACTATATAGGGGTGGCCTTTAGTTCGATGTCCAACACTGAATTTCTTTTACTATGATACCTTGTCTGAAGAAGAAAAAAGTCGATTGGAAAATGTGGAGCCATTTGACGAGTTTGAGGTAAAGTTTGTGGCGCGCGATGTAAAGTCCAAATGATTCGGTGCTATACTGTAATTCTTCTGGTTTTCTATAATTGTGTTATAAGTCTTGTTTAAACTCAAAAGAAAAACGTTATTCCTCAGGAATGGCACCTGATGTGTTCACACTATATAGTCCTCGCTGCTTTCAAGGGAATCTGTGAGGATATTTGTGAGGAGCTGTTTTCGCAGCTGAATGGTGGGTAATTTTTTGTTCCAGTTAACCCAAGAGGGAGGTAGTTTTTTAGTCTATGTCATACTCTAAATCCTCCCTGCTTTTTTCGTTTTTCTGCAAACCCCAGTTCATTCCCGAATTCAACTCGTCGTCACGCTTGTGAGTGGCTATCTGTTTGACCTGTTGCCGTTTGGGGTATTCAGAATGTATTTACCATGTTTGATTTTGGTCTTTTAATGACTTCAGGGAGAGCGGTATCCCAAGCTCTGAGGTTCAATTCGTCATGGGAACTCACAATTTTTTCTTAATCCCCACGCTCGCGATGAGACAAAAAACATCGGAGCTCTAAACTGACCATCTTTCTTACTCTATTTACTTTAGCGACTGTTTGCAAATTAGATGGGGAAAACAAGTATATCTTTAATGTAAATATTGACTAACGTTCAGGTTCAACTTTACTTTTGCATTTTACACTTTGGTTTTCCTCATAATTTGGCAGTAGGGACCTATGATCACTCATCGCCTCTTAAAGATGTTCAGTGCACAGTTCGAGTTATGGAAGTTTTACCCTCGCGAGATAAACTCAAAAGGTAAAATTGCCACTTGTTTACGTTTCTGCCTTGTCTAGCAACTATTTGAGTTTTTTCCACTTGTTTCGCGGACAAATTCATACTGCACTAAAGAAGCTATTACATTTGAAGAAAGACAAGTCTGGTCAGTTTTCGTTTTCTTCGCCGTCGCGTAATTTTATTAATTGAGAATAATCTCAGCAGACAATTATTTTATGAAAAAAGTGTTAGTAACCTCTCCTTCTATGAACTAGGCAAGGCCACACAGCCACGCCACTTAGTGACGGTACAGTTTTTCTTACTGGAGGATTTGGTCTGGAAAATGGAAAACACATGCGGCTTGATGGAGTTCAGTTACTGCGGACCGTGGAAGGTAACTTTAAAATAATACGCACTTTTAATGTTCTTACAGTAGTAGGCCCTTATCGATTGTGCTAGCATAAGTTTTAGTAACTTATAATTTGGAAAAACGAGCATAACTTTTCTCACTTTTTCTAAAAGTAGCACTGCTAGAATAATCGGCAAAGTTTTCGTTTTATGAGGGGAACATTACCAGAGTTATGATTTGCTCGGTCCCAGTTCCCGCTAACATCGTACATTTTGACACATTAAGGCCCTGTTTACAAGCAGG